TGTTACTATACTTTCAATTGTCAATTGTTATGGTAAAAATGTGGAAACCCTTACGTAGAAATATCACTGCTTACCTTGGCTGACACCGAGAATAAATAATGTTTCTGCTGTATTGTGTTATGTAAGAAAAATTAAAGTTGAAACTTTCACAAGTTATACAAATATCATACTTTTGTTTAGATGTTTTGTATAGTTACAGATTTACTGATAAACTTTGTAACTCTGAAGAATGTGAAAAAACAAAATCTCTGCTCGATTGTACATCAAATAAAAACAATATCTCAGTTGTCTGTTGTATTCGTTTCTCATTATTCTATGAAAAATCTAAATAATTCTGCAAGTATAATGAGATTTCCATTATAAAGTGGGACGAGCGGCATTATGTACTTAGCTACTAACGCAAATCTATATCAATACTAATGTTAAAGAGGAAAGATTTGTATTTTTGGTTTTTTGTATGTATTGAAATAACTCAAAAACTACTGGGCTGATTTCAAAAATTCTTTCACCATTACAAAGCTACGTTATCAGTGAAAAACATAGACTACATTTTTATTAGTTATTTTTTTTATTTCACGCAGACGAAGTCGCGAGCAACAAGTATGATCACATTTCAATTATAAAGTGGGACGAGCGGTATTGTGTACCTAGGTACTAACGCAAATATAAAGTAATTGTGTAAACTGTCAGAGTACAAAGCCGTACACTGTAAAGAAGTAATTATTTAATTACGCGTAATGTTGCTTTGTTTCATTGTAAACAAATTTCTCATACATCTTGCTCCTATAATGTGCCATACAACCATAGAGAATATAGCATTTTAAGCAAAACTAACTGCTCTAGTCATCAAAGGAGATCCTTAATCTATTTCGTTTATATCTATAAAAATTGTGAGATATAGTGAAATCTTACTTTTTTAATATTATAAATGCGAAAGTTTATACAAATGTTTGTTGAACAGGTGCCGATGAAATTTGAGAGATGTAGAGGATAATCTAGAAGACCACACAGACTACTCACTTTCGATTTTTCTTAATTCTACGCGGACGGAGTCGCGGGCGATAGCTATATATAAAAGAAGGGATTGCTAATGTTTTATTATGTGAACAAAATATTTTTTATCGCAAAGAATTGAGTTTTATCTACACATAAGGGTTTGTAGATATATGTACATACGTAGGATGATGTACAAAAATACAGAATAAGTGATCACTTACTTTAAGTGCGGTAACTAAGATACGAGAGATAGTTACATTGATCACTTGACCTGTGTACGTGACATTGTATATCGCGAATATTGAACTAGGCTTTATTAGAAGTGGCACGCGAGGGGGCTATGGGCTAGGCTTTCATCGTGTAGAGAAGGCAGTGTATGACAGTCGGAGGAAGGCAGGCGCGCGCGCAAGTCGCCTTACAGTTGGTGCATGCGTATTGAATCTTTGTGTATGTTATTGTGAATATACGTGTATACTCTGTAATAATGAAACTCCATTTTAAAATATTCGGTAAGTATTTTATTGTGTTTGTTTAATAAATGTTTATATTTAATTTTGTTACTATTAAGTGAGGGTAGTTTAAATAAATATTGCATACGCTTTAATTAAGATGGTTATATTTATTTCAAAATTAATGAACCAAAAACAAATTGAAATGAGATATATTTTAAAATAAAAGTAATGTATTTTTTAAATAATCTTGCAATAATTACTTGAACAAGAAACTAACGTTCTGGTAAATATTCAGTAGTTACACGCAGTTTTTTTCTAAATTTGCGTATGTATACCTATGAAATCAATAAGTACATATATTTGCATATATACTTTTGAACATTTTCCTCATAAATATACACATATATTTTTCTATTATATTACTTTAGACATTTAGTTGGCTAGCCTCTATATGCTTATTTTATTTCCGAACGTTCAGAAACACTTTTTGGTAAAACAATCACAAATTCTAATCCATGACTTAAACACCAATGTGCAATTTTTAATAAAAAAAAATCATTCGATGTTTAAAATTACCAAACCTGTTTGAAACTCGTTGAAATCTTTGATATGGGTTCAACATTTTATACGACGTATAACAAAACACTTAATAAAACTATATTCTATACTTAAGAAGCCACATCTCAGTAATAAAATCAATCATCAAGTTTTTTTAGTGGAAGCATTGCATAATTATGTCAAAATAAAAGAGAGTACCCTATGTGTTCTTCCAGACTATCCTCTACATCTATACCAAATTTCATCGAAATCTGTACAGCCGTTTAAGCTATAACTGTAACAAACATCCATCAATCCATCGATCTAAACTTTCGCATTTATAATATTAGTAAGATATACTGCGTCTTTGTTGCATAAACTATTATAGTAATTATGATCATAGTTTAAAAGCATGGGGGTCACGGGTATTAATTTTTGCTGAGAATCTTAACCGGATATACTATTGTGTAAAAGGTTTTTTTTGGTACATCTACAAAAAATGCCTTAACATGATTTGTACTTAGTGTTGTTGAAGGAAGGATTAGCGAGGTTAAGTTTCCGATATATTGAATCCGACTTAAAGTAATATTAAAGTAAAGTAAGTTATATTTCTAATTATAAAGAACTAGCTGCTGCTCGCGACCTCGCCCACGTGAAATTAAAAAATAATAAAATGTATAGCCCATGTTACTTACAGATAAATTACCTTTCTAATTGTGAAAGATTTTTTTAAATCGGAACAGTAGTTTTTACGTGAATCAAATACATATAAAAATCTTTCCTCTTTATAACATTAGTATAGATTTTGCAGATCGATATATAATTACGATGTTTTTTTTTAATTAGGAATGAAAAATGTTCTTATTTTTATGGGAATATACGTGTCAATGACTTTTCATGTATCTCTCTGTTGCCCTCTTCTGGCAACAAAAAACAACAAAAAGGATTTTGCCACGTAAATATTAAAAAAATATTGTACTAAAATTGAGGTTAAGTTCCACACAATTTTGACCTCATACAGTACAAACAAACGCGGTATAAAGCTAAACTTAAGAATAAACTGTGTATAAGAAAATATTATCCAACTAAAAACACTAATTAATGGTTAAAAGTAGCTGGGAAACTGGCCATAACGACCACAATTAAACTGCATAGAACACAATGTCAATTTAATAGTGATTAATTTAAAAACGTATACACGTAGAGAATTATTAAATTACAAATAATAATACATAGTTACGATGCATTAAAAAAATGCAGGATAAAAAAAAATGATGTAGATAATTTTTTCTACAAGTTACGACAGAATTTTATACTGAAATACGTTTACCTCATAATTGGTTTTTCATAGAAATAATACGTGATAACTGTAAATAGGACTTTTCAAAAGACATAACGTTTTCAATTGTTATGGCTATATTATGTACATATATTGTCAACATGCGCCATTCAATATAAGTTATGTACTTTTCATAGTGAGCAAACGCAAGTTGTCTGCAAAAAAAATATTTTGTCATGGTCACATAACAAAATGAATAATATTACATGAGTATGGTAACATTGTTTTCTTTGTTTTTATAATGATATTATCCAGGCCTTTTGGTTTAAAAGAAATTCTTTGAAAAGAAAATGCGAAATGAAAAAAATGCTCTTGGTGTGGATTTATTTATTATTGTTGATTTTTGTGCTTTTATACTAGAGAATTAAAAATTTTCGTTCAATGCTTAAATTTCCAATAAGAATGTGAACATCAATGATTTAAGCACTAATCAAAACTATTTAAAAATCGTTTTGGAGCATTTTCCCGTTTGTAGCGAATTGACCTTTAAACAAAATATATTCAATATCAGCCTTGAGATATCAGTACTAGTGGAATCCAAACATAACATTATCAAATACAGAATTTAGCTGTCACATATAAAATCTTCATAAGTTTATCTTAGATAGATTGTAAACGTAATCATGAGTCTCCGTGAAAGAGTATTATTGCTGTCTCCGTTTTTATAAGAAGAATGACAAGGATGGCATGTTTCTGAACGATATCAAAGCAATGGATGTCAATAAGATGCTGTGTAATAGATAACATTTTTGTTTATCATTAGAAAGAGTTCCTTGTGGAATCTTACAAGTATATGAGTTTTCTTCGTTTAAATCATAAAAGGAAGAAACTCAAACTCGATGGATTTGAAAATCCTTTTTTTAGCAAAGCAATATTATCACTGAGTAGCATAGATATTTATTACTTCACAAATAAATGCGAAAGTTTAGGTGGATGGTGGATGGTTATGATGGTGGATGGTTATGGATGGAATAGTTTGAATGTGGTGGATGGATGTAGATATATCGATATTAACGGATCTCAATGAAATTTGGCATAGATGTAGAACATAGTCTGGAAGAACATATAGGCTAGTTACCAAGATTTAATTCCACTCGGACGTACGTGCTGGCAAAAGCTAAATAATATAAAAGTATCTCGATTACTCTATATACGTTTTGTAATTATACCATTGTTGTATATCACAATTTAACAATTGCTTTTTGCACAGGTATTTGTCATGTTCACATCACCACAACAAATTAATTTGCCAAGGTGTTAGCAATCGAATGCATGTATATGTATAACGCAGCCCTCACATTGACTAAACATTTATAAAACACTGCTTTCGGCCGAGACTCCGTCCGCGCGGAATTAAAAAAAAACAAATGCAAATAGCCTAAGTGTTCTTCCAGGCTATCCTCTACATCTATGCCAAATGCCATTGAAATCCGTTCAGCCGTTTAGGCTACAAACTCTAACAAATATCCATCTAAACTTTCGCATTTACAATATTAGTATGGTATTATGATTATCGGCTGAACGAAACGGCTGAACGGATTTCAATGAAATTTGGTATAGATGTAAAATATACTCTGGAAGAACGCATAGGCTACTCAGTTTGTTTTTAAACATTTTACGCGGACGGAGTTGCAGGAGAAAGCTAGTAATAACATAATTTGATAAAGATATTTTTCAAAAATGATAAACTTCATTTACTGACCGAAAATTCTAATCACAACTTTACCTTTACGTATTTAGATAGTTTTAATCTGGATTCAACGCTCATTTACCATAAATTCAATAACGTAAAGAGGAAAAAAATATTGATTATGCAAATACGTCCGCAAAATTTCAAGGAATCAGGCTAACCTTCATACTTATCCAAGCATTACAAGTAAAAGAATTTTCCTTAAACTTCTGCTTTTGACAATAAGGTATTTCTTATTTACAAAAAACATTTAGATATTTGATTTTTTTAAGAAATCAGCGTCATTTGTATATTACTATTTAAATAAAACAAGAACTGAAATCGTTTAAAGAATGTATTTTGCTGTCTTACATATCCAATAGTTTTCGTTGTATCATTTATAGCTGTTCCCGTGCGACTTCATTCGCATGAAATTATGAAAATTTAATTAATTGTTTACATTTGTCAAATTATCAATTACAAATGTCAAAATGACATTACATGACGACAACCTTGCTTCCTTGATGTTGGCAGCAACTTATTGTCTCTTTCCCACATTAGGGTTTTTATCCAAAATATTTACCCCCTAAGTTTAATGGTGTTAAAATGTATAGCCTAAAGCGAGACGCAGGTGTAGGGCTTTTTATTTAAAAAAGAATTATTCCAAAATATGCTGTAATTGCTGATATCTTAGGCAACAAAGAAGTGTGTGTTTTCACTTTATTATAATAGTATAGACATGTACCAATACCAAGTTAAGGTACATATAATTGTAATATACTTTAAGGTGCAATATTTCCGATAGGAAAAACAATATGGAACTATCGACGCGGAACAGAACAGTATCGAATTTATCACGTGATGTTTGTAACAAGAATAGTTATGGCAAATAACCAGGCGGAATTAACTTTGTAATTTAGATGTTTGAAATAAGTTCTACTGACAATACTCCAAGGTGGACTTGTGTTCATGGAAAGATATAATAATATATTGAAAATACTAATTAAAGAAGTATGAAAGCGCTACATTTGTCATAGTAACTATAATCGAAAAATGTTCGTATAGAATAAATCTTACCAACCTTTCTTATACAAACGTGTCTTACTTTTTACTAATATTATAAATGGAAAAGTTTATTTGGATGGATGGGCGGGTATTTGCTAAACTCCTTAACAAACCTCGATGAAATTTGGCGTAGAGTATAAATAGAACAAGAGATGGATGGATTGCGTGAAAGGTGACATGATCAAGAAGGGCATTGATGACTGCGATGACGGATGATAGTGTTATTTGGAGGACGAAAACCCGGTGCGTCGACCCTACGGGAGTAGGATAAGACAGGGGATATGATGACATGGGTTACATATGTTTGTTTTCTTTGTAATTCCACAAGGACGGAGTCGCGGGCGAAAGCAAGTTATATAAAATTACACTTGTAAAATTTAAGCGAATTAAAGATCACGTAATATACAATAAATATAAAATTTCCATACACAATTGCGAATTGAAGTTTGAAGTGGGTCTCACCGTTAGTGTATTTAATTAGTTCCTTATAAGAATTGCGTTCGACATCTGTCAGGTAATTGGGGATTACATTGGCGCCGGCGAGATGGTGTGTATACTTTGACTTTTAAGAGACAGGACCTGTCTAGCAAGTGCATTCCCCTCTGCGAAAAAAAATGTCCGATATAACTAACCTTGCTTTTTGTTTGTGACTTTCATTTGTTACTAGCTGTGTCCATCTTCATACGCATGATGCAGCATTTTAGGCCAGACAATTTATTTCAAATTATTCCCCTTTAAATTAAATAGCGTGAAAATATAGCCTATAGCGTGCCTTTAGTATAAGGCTTTTTACTAAAAAAAGATTTTTTTCAAGAGCATGGCGTGATTACTAAGATCCTACAAAGAAGTGTGTGTTTTCGCTTTGTTATGTTAGTATAAATGTCAATAGTTATGTTCACAAAATTTATTAAATTTTAAGTGTTAGAATGATTGCACATATTATACGATTATCTTTATCTCACCACTGAGTAGATGAATTTATTTACTCGGTAAATAGTCTAGTCCATTTCTTTATAGTCGAAGGTGTGAGGTGGTTTGTGGTGTGTGGTGAGCGGTGGTGAGTGTGGTCGCGACGGCGCCAGCGCCCGATCAGTTCGCATTCTTCACTTTCACCGGACACCGCGCCGTCGCCATGACTAACATGTAAACACCGTTATGCAAATAATCCGACGTCTCTCGTTCGGACCAGGATGGTGTTAGTTAATTTTAATTAATAAAAATTAAAAAAAGCTGCTAACAGACACATTGAGAAATGTTTAGTTTTTGTTGTGTTAATTCCTTAGTGTTAAATTTGCAAGGACTCTGGGAAATCATTAAAACGATTCTCAGTAATTAGTTAATTTGAATAGTGTAAGATTCGTGTTACATATATTTACTAGTATATGTAACACGAATTTAAATTGTTTTTTTAATAACATTTTATTGCTCAAAAGCCCTGTACCTGTATTCATTTCTTTTGGAAAAATTATAGTCAACACTTGAAACACATATTTTTATTAAAAACTCGAAGTATTCTAAGAACAGAGTCAATTAATGGAATATAGTTTTTCCTCCTTGCAGCTGCAAGTTTATATAAATATGCGATTCAAATGTCAAAGCTTGTTGCAAAGAAAGGGCAAATAAACATCTTTACATTGCTCATTTACTGAGATGGGTGCAAACTAGTTTAAATTCCAAGGACAGAAATAACCTCGGCAGGTATTAAAAATATTCTGCGGTTACACATAAGCCTCTAAAGTAAACAAAACAATGATTAAGACGTGCTTTCTTAATATATATTAAAAACATATTTCTTAACAAGCTTTAGCCCGCGACTCAGTTCGCGTGGAATTAAAATAAGTATCCTATGTGTTCTTCCAAACTTTCCTCTACATCTATGCCAAATTTCATCGAGATCCTTTCAGCCGTTTAGGCTACAAACTCTAACAAACATCTATCCATCTAAACTTTCGCAATAATTAGTATGAAGTATAATGTATTTATGTAAACGATTATTTGCTAAATGGTTCAAATAGTTTCAGTAAACTTCCCTTAACTATTTAGTTTTAAATTTGGTCATATAATAAAAAGCAACGTGAGTTTTATGTAATACCGATCATTGCGATATAAAGTTTTCTTATAATAATCTCATTCTTAGTACATGATAATAAACATCATTCTATATATAGTAATAATGTATTTCAAATTGCATTCAGTGTTGCAAAATACCACAACGACATAACACGGACAGGTTAATTTAGACTCCATTAGTTATTGATGTAGGTAGTAGGGGACACTTAAATTGCATGAACGTAGGAATACAATAACAGTGTGCCCACTTACAATGCCTTTTGTTGTGTGATATGAACACACTAATAAATGAAAATTAGCGACATTTGTTAAGCGAAATAATGTAATACTATTATGACTCGAACAATAGTACAAGCTCTTGTTACTTCTTTAAAAATCATTTAAAAACTCCAACATGTTAATGAAAAATTTGATATTTTTTAAGTGATTTTTGTTCAAGTTTTCTTTAACTTACGCTACGCTGTTATTCTACTTGATGACTTTACCTTTCGAGTATTTCAATGTTATATTGTTTTATTATTCTGGAAAATTCTAGACAAAACCTATAAAAATTTAAAACTTTACGAATGATTGCGCTATGTTTTTGCGTTATGCAATATTTTGGTCACGGCCACTAGATGTTACGTTCCGCGCACGCTATAACATTGCCATCTACGATATTTAGAAAAAAAAAAACTATAATTAATTATATTCATGTAGTATATTAAACAATCAATACTGATTTTTTATGCTAATAATCTGCTTATTTTTAAAAGCAAACGGGATATTTTTCTATAAAAGTTATTGTAAATCGACTTTAATCCATTCATCATAATTTTTTTTTTTTGTCGTTGTGTATTGATTTTCACAAATGGGGAAAGGGAATGTCTCCTTACAGGGTAACCTAGTGCGGAAGCCAAGGCTCTATTGAATAATAAAGCATTTATTAATTATTATTTTAAATATATCTACCGAGGGAGTCGGAGCTTACCCTATTTTAGGGATCACTAGGTGTTTGTCAATCACGCTAGGACAATGCGGGTGGACTTCACATATCTAATATTATGTTTATTACCTATTATAATTATGAATGTTTAGATGGATGGATGTTCGTTAAAATTTTTGTCCAAAACGGCTGAACGGATTTCGATGAAATATGGTATAGTATAGATCAGTTTGGGAGACAACTATTTTTGTTTTTTTTTTAATCCTACGCGGACGGAGTCGCCGGCGAAAGCTAGTATTTTATAAGTTCTTTGCAGATACGTGCAGGTTGCATCACGGTTTATCTTTATCGATTAAATTTTGTAAATTATTAACGTGTTTACTCGTGTAGTGAATATTATTCGATTCAGTCGATTGTGACGACTCAGAATATATCTATGAAGGCACGCTTCCGGCAATAATAATGCGGTAAAACGTAAAAAACATGCGAATCAAATGATTACAGACGGAGAACGCTTAGAATCTGTGTGGTAATTAAAATGTTGATTTAATTATTGTTATGCAGTTGTAAAATTTGGAATACTTTGCTTAGTATGGCATAATGAAAAAGAGACTAACCTTACTCAATAAATAGTGAGAAGGTATAATTCAATTGATCGGTTTCGCAACTTAACATGATTCTTCTTCTTCTTCTTATATTGCCATCTTCTTTCGAAGTTCGGCAATCATTAGGGCGACTTGCGTTCTTGATACCGCGGCTTTAGTATGATTAAACTTTTCGAATTATTATTAGTATAGGTTTCTCTTAATCAAAATGATATTTGGGCTGACAGAACTAGTCCGTGCGTTTGATCTGTCGATCATCAGCTTTCGCTTTCGCCGCTGCTAAGGCGTTTAATTACGCGGCTCGTCTCGTATCTGGAGTAAGAGTGCAATGATCTCAAATCAAAGCCGTCAATGTCGCGATATTGACATTGTTTCGAAAGTTTCCATTCCAAGAAAATACTTTCAGATTTTTGTCGAGGTCGTTCACTAGGACGTTGGCAAAATATTTCGATTTATGTTTATATTTATACTAAAACGTAAAATGGCTGATCTGATAAAATAGGTTTGTTAAATTCCGATGCATTTCCATTTATAATAAATATCTTATGATGTAAAGTTATTTGTGCATATCCTCATATCACATACCGACAAGAATCGAGTCTATTATTCAAAATTATGTTGTACAACTAAACCAAGTAAATATTTCGCATCTTGTGCACAAAAATCTCCGAAGTCGTTTTGAATGATGATGTTCGTGTATCTGCCAAATAACCTTTAAAATTAATTTATTTGTCGCGTTGGCATTTAATAAATTCAGCTCCCGAAGCTCTTCACGGCATGTTTTTAGGAAAATACAATACCTATCTTTTTTTTAAATAATAATACGTATAAATGAGGGTAGTTAATTGTGTTAAATATGTTCACAGATGTGGTACCGGCGCGGTTCAGTGTGGCGATCATGCTGTTCTTTGCCTGCTGGGTCAACTACATGATGCGGGTAAACATGAGTGTCAACATCATTGCCATGGTGCCCGAGGACGACAAAACTACATCGTAAGTCATTTGTTTTAGTACTACAGCCGAAAAGGGCTTATCGTTGACTTGTAGCGCCCCTTTTTCAAGGCGCCCTGGGCGTTTGCCTACCATAACGAAGGTACTGCAGCCGAATGTTGCTTGAGTAACCCTGCATTCTAAATTCTCAAACTGTTTACAAGTAAACACTAGTTAAACATTTTTCATTTTAATTTGGGAGGTTATGGTGTCTGTCTTATCATACGTGATATCGCTGTATCAATTAATACAACGTTATGGCTTCGTTTAATTTGTTTTTGTTAATTAATTGGCAATTAATTCGAAATAATCAATGATTAAAAAAATATGATGGCTTAAGTGAAGGAAAACAAAAGACAAGACGTTCACAAATAAGGAAATATTTATCAAACAACGCGACTTCAAAGAATCAACAATTTGCAAGGTTAGCTGGATTGCAATCTCATAAGTTTATTAAATAAAGTCTATTGCAAAATACAGCTTTGTGACGAACGATATTGACAGACATACATGTTACAAATTTTATTTATTTATGCAATATTCCAGTGAAAATTATTCACACAACTTTATGTTCAAGTTAAAGGTTCCATTGCACTGTAACATCTAGAATTTAATGTCAGATACAACGACTCGTGTCGTAAGATCCGATACTCGTAACAATAATTGTTCTATGGACAATAATTTTGCTAACATAAGTTACTTTTAAGAGTTTCTGAAACTTTTTATTATTGACGATTTTTATTATAGTGACGATATCTATATAATTATCCATGATTTGACTTAAATTGTGTACATTTTGCAACATTAGGATTTCCCCTTGAAAACGACGTAGGCAATCAAAACACGTTCTAACGAAGACGCCTCTTCGGAGGCCTTTAGGAGCGGCCGTCATAAAAAATTGTAATTTAAATGTTTTTTGTCTGATGAATTTTAGTTTGATAACAGTTTTTTTAATTGCTCAAAATAAATATTGCAATATGTACTTTAGTACTACTTATTATAAATGTATAAAGAGATTTAAAAGTATTTTTTACTTGTTGTTGAATTTGAAAATAGTAAAAAATATAGCCTATGTTACACACTGATAACGTAGCTTTTTAATAGAGAAATAATTATTGAAATTGACCAAATACAAACTGAGTTATTTCAATACATACTAAACTTTTCTCTTTATATTATTAGTATGGATTAAAAAAGGTCATTAGTCTTAGATGAAATTTTGTTATTAAGCATTTGACTTCATATCTGTTTTTATTTTTGTTTATAAACGTTTTTAATCGATTTGTTAGGCAATTCTATGATACTCTAAAAATAATAATAGTAAGTGACATTGAAATATTAATTAAATTGTTAATCTAGTTTTAATTGCATTAATAATTAAGGAAAAATAATAATGAATAGATCATCATCATCCATTGTTTAATATTTTTGATGTAAAAAAGTAGTGAAAAAGTACAGACTTTCCGCTAAATTCTTTTTAAATATAGACTATTGATAGGTACAGTTCTGTCAAAACTTAATGATGGTTCGATTGCGAGTTGAAAATTAAGCTGACATTACAAGCCGCCATAAACTTTGAATATTTTAATATCAAAGTTTGTAAACAAATGTTAGCATAACACGTTAGTTTGTCTGTCGAGTGAAGGGTGTAGTGTAACGGTACAGGTCACCGGTGGACTCTACGCCGTCGCGTCATTGCAGCGAAGGCCTCCATCTTATGACGGAAGGCGTCAGAGGTTAAATCGTCAAAAGTTACGCCCGTTATTTACTAGGAAATAATTTATAACAAATCAACTGTTTTTAACATGCTAGATTAAAAGCGCTATAGTCTTAATAATATACAGGGTGATTCTTAACGGAAGGGTCAAAGGTTTTGTAGAGTGAGAGGACTTCGATAGCGCTTAAAGCGCAAATTGTTGCCCGAATTTCTGAGATTTACTTATGTTTTTGTAACAATTGGAAAAACCAATTAAATTTTTCCCGTCCAAAATAATGTGTTTACAGTGGTCATTTTTTACTTAAACAAGACTAATAATTGGGCTTTCCCCACTTTATCCTTTTTTTGGAATAACTAACACGAGAACTAAATAAAAAAAAATTAAAACTTTCAACAACAATTTTTTTTTAACTTTGAGGACCTGTAATTGTTTTTACAGCAACTTTATTCTTTTTTAAAAAAAAAAAAACAGATTACGCTCTCGTGTTACATCTAATCTAAATTAAAACATGACTAAAATAAAAATTAAAACATACTTGAAAGGTATTTATTTGATAACCAGTGAAAATTATAATATTGGCATATTCTTTTTATGTACATAACAGAATACAACACAATAATTTTCCTCTAAGTTTATAGGATGTTAGAGGCTTAGTGGTAATAACATAGCATTAGTACTATGGCATTGTTGTTATTGTTCCCAGAGTGAAAAGCGAGTGCGAGGCCATCGCTAACAGCGACAGCGCGACGGACAACGTCACAACACTGATCACGAAACAACATCTACGACAGGTAAAACATTATATAACTAGCTGTTGCTAGCGACTTTGCCTGCGGGAAATTAAATATAGCCCATGTTACTCATTGATAACATAACTTTTTAATGGTGAAAGAATTATTAAAATTGGCCTAGTAGTTTTTGTGTTTTTTCAATACATACAGAAATACAAAAAATTAAATCTTTCCCCTTCATGATCATCATCCACTTGCCCTTATCCCTTATGGAGGGTCGGCACAGTATGTGCTGCTCTTCCATACATCTCTATCAGCCGTCATATCTGAATTCACTCCTTTCTTAAGCATATCTTCTTTCACACAATCCATCCATACATTCTTCGGTCTTCCTCTTCCTTTGTAGCCATCCACATTCAATCTCAACACTTTCTGGTTTATGTCCCCATCATTTCGTCGCATAACATGTCCATACCACGCTAACCTTTTGCTTCTCAATTTCTCCACCACTGGCGCTACTTTCAAACTTCCTCTAATGTACACATTCTTAACTTTATCCAATCTTCTTCTTCTTTCCCCTTCATGATATTAAGTATAGATTAGCTGTTGTCTGAGATTACGTCTGTGCAGAATTAAAATAAAAATAATTACTTCTTTTGCATCTAAAGGTGATTAAATCCACGACATTTTAATTTTAAAATTGATAACGTTGACACCAAATTGTATACTAACAGTATACTTTTGTGTAATTAATTAATATCTAATTGCAACAAAAATTTAGACGTAGGTATACTAAAATTTTAAGAATGTATCTGCGGTTATAAAAGTACAAATAATTTCAAGCTGTGCCAATACACGATCTCGATATTTCAAAACGCATTGCGACCTGAATATTCATAAGTATTACGACTTCAACAATGGCGCCCTCTGACGACAACATTCGCGACAAGCCCATATACAATCATATCGTCAGTTGCCACTAACAGAAAGTTTTACAAGAAACATGTTACCATCTCTCTCTACCTCCTTGGAAAAAAAGAGATAACGATATGCGTGTGCAGGTGCTTTAACAGTGGTTATTGGCATACTTTGTGCTGAAATATTTAGAGTACACTCATACTTTACATATTTCGATTTATACACATTTCCCTCAGGTTATTAGCTTTGTAACTTTTTCGTTGCATTCGTTGATTACATTCCTGAAATACTTCTTAAAGTGCTTGGTTTTTTTTTATTCATGTTAAAGCTTATTTTAACCCACTCTGGGAAGAGACATGAAACGTTATGTTATTTTTAAGTATTCCATCCGTATGTAATATAAGAAAATACATTCAATAATTTCATTTTTCCAAAATAAAATTATCTCTTCCTAATATGATTTACAAAAAAGATCTTCTTTGTTTAGGAATATCGGATATTGAACACAACGGAAACATAACTTCTAAATTAAAAATTAAAAAATTAACATACCAGAACAATAATGTATTTTTTACATTTTAACATTGAGGTAATCTGAAGGTTGTTGTTCGCACGTGGTAACCTTTATCAATATTTTTTGGCTCGTGATACTCAAGATTAAATAAATTGTCAAGTATTCAAGTGCTCACTGGATCGTGACGTCACAACTCTCTGTGTTAGTCTTCAGTATTCAAATATAGATAAGATAATCATTATAAATAACTCTCCTTTACGCTTGATGTCAGATGAAGTGATACAAACATTATTTGATACTTTGATAGCAGTTGATTCGACTTCCTTATCAAAGATTATACCAGTTTGAATGATGTGATATGCGTATTTTGTGTTACAAATATCAAAAATATATACTTCCTTGTTATTGTAAGTAAACATACATATACATACACTGGGTGTAATATTAATGGGATAGCTCGGGCTCTCATTATTCAAATTATGGAAGATTTCACAGTAAATTCAAACATTGCGTGCATAGCTTGATTATCATTTATGTATTATGCAATGAATTAATTGAGAAAAAGTTTGCAATTGTTAATTACATTTTTACAGTTTTAAACTAGCTGTTCTCGTGCGGCTTTCCTTCCTAAATATTGGCAGCTTGAAGTCTATGGTCCCTTTACCACATGAAGGTTTTTTCCAATTTATTTACCTCCTAAGTTTAATTGCGTGAAAATATATAGCCTAAAGAGTGTCGTAGGCGTAGGACTTTTTGTTAAAGAAAGAATTATTTAAACATTTGCTGTGATTTCTGACATCCTACGCCACAAAGTAGCGTGTATTTACGCTTTATTTTATTAGTAGAATAGTAGACAAGTGGCATCAAAGGATTATAGTTAAGTCTCGGAATCTCACAAGGGAATGTTTATTTGGTAATAAACTTTTGCTCAAGGAGGGTTCACTACAATTTGATCTTAAACTAAGAATAACTAAGTACTATATTACCAAACTAATGTAACAACGTTATTTTGACAATTAAATATTTATATTTCCAGCCTGAAGGCGTGGTTACATTCAACTGGACGGCGCAGCAACAGGCGTACGTGCTGTCAGGTTACTTCTGGGGGTACGCGATCACCTCTCTAGTGGGGGGCACAGCGGCGGAGCTGTGGGGACCTCGCAATGTGGTCTTCATCACAATGCTGATCAGCGCGGTCCTGACTACTCTGTCGCCGCAGGCCGCGAGGCTGCATTATCTGGTCCTGGTCGGTGCTCGCTTCATCATTGGTTTATCAGCTGTGAGTATATTATATCTCCTTTACTTTTAAGGTAGAAATTATGGATAAGGAATTAAAAAAATAAGGAGCCTATGCGTCTATCCTTCTGTCAAAATTCATCGAAATCGGCTAAGATGTTTTTAAGATATCTAATATCAAACCTTTATCTAACATCCATGCAAACTTGCGAGTATTATTAGTGCATTAGTTTGTTTTTTTTTTACGCTGCATTTTAGTAATACTTTTACAGTTTTTTTACAGTGTTTTATATTCTAAATTTAATTTACTAATGCGCCTGTTAACCGTGAGTCTAGGTTTTCCATAGCCACAAGAGCCATCCATCGTAGGTCAACAATGTTTGTACACGAACGAGCTCCGTTGTAGGTAACAACGGTGTATGCAGTTAACAATAACTAGGTCATATACTGCTGATAACCAAACAAAGTTTTACACAATGCAATTTAACATGAAACACTTTTATAAACAACCGTTTAAATGTCTGTTACCATGCGTTAATAAGTATTTTGATATATGTACACAAGTGATAAGATAATTGGGTTTAAACGGTTTTATTTTGAGTTTACTTATGCGTACAATTTAATTTAATTTGTTTGAAAACAAGCTACTGACTTTACATTACACAATTTGCTTTTATTGTCCTAATAAAGGTGTTTAATCAAGATTTTTCTGGAGTTTCTTAATTAAATTTCTAAATCACAGTATGATGGTGAAAACTAAACGACGGAATCTGATTTCCAAACGCCGAAAATTGATTAACAAAAATAGAATTAGAGGCATAATTAGGGCTGCCAGGTTTCATTAAACCCACACCAGAAACTAGTGGCAAATATGAACGCCATCTAGTGATTCGCTTCATACCACATTTTCGGTCACGGGCTCAAATTCAAAAATATGGCAGCCCTAATCTTAGGTAATCATTTACATTTCAATGTTCTTTACTTTCAATGCCTATTTGCTTTCAGCCACTATGTTGCATTTTACTTATAGTGTTTTTTTTTCAGGGTTTCCTGTTCCCCGCTCTACACGCGCTGGTAGCGCACTGGGCGCCGCCGGCTGAGAAGGGCAAGTTTGTAAGCGCTCTACTCGGCGGAGCCATCGGTACTGTAGTCACCTGGTCCCTCACAGGGCCTCTCATTGAGAACTTCGGCTGGGATTTCGCCTTTTACATACCTGGTGAGTTTTTCTATCGGATAAAATCTAATTTGCTTATTGTATATTTACTAACAACGCTTATTGTAGTATAATGTGTATCACATTTAACTGAAAAAAAAAAATACTTTCAACTTATTAATGCGTATATTGAAGTATTTAATTAAAAATAAAAAGAGGCGGTAGTTCGCTAGTATTCAAAATATTTAGAAGTCAAACATCAGAGTCCTGCCTTGCTTTTAAAAGAAGATAGGTACTTAAACATAAATGAAAATTAAATGTGAAAATGAAGAAAAAAAGTTTTGCTTTTTGTGTATTTGAATGTTTGGTGTTGATTACAAATCGGTGGATTTAATAAAAATCCTATAAATCTAGATATAATTTGTATTCCTATAGCAACGTGTTATAGTCTAAGTGTTAGGTTCACGCTTAGGAAATTAATTAAGTCTCACAAACTTACTGGACTTTCTTTCGAATTTAAATTCAATACGAATGTATTCGATGGTTTTCTAAATTGCTGTGTTTACGCCTAATTTTGTCTTTTAGATTTCTCAGTTATATATTTCAAAGTCGGAGTTTATTTATCTTGGTTGTAAATGTTAAAACGAGAGAGAGGAAATAATAAATTATATTTTAATGTTAACCGAGTTTAGAAGGTAAAATTAAAAGCAATACCGGGTGATTTAGCTATTCGATATTTGATTGTTTATTGTTCTGTGTGGTAGGTTTCATAGCGACGGTGTGGTGCGCCCTCTGGTGGTTCCTCGTGTACGACTCCCCAGTGCAGCATCCCCGCATCTCGGACAACGAGAAGCAGTACATTCTAGAAGCGATTGGCGACAAGGTCAACCAAAGTACTAAGGAAACTAGGGTAAGAATATTGCTACGTTCGTTACTAATTATTAAAAAGGGTTTAAGGTGCTATAATCAGTGCCGGCGTTAGCTTTCTTAACGCCCTGGGCGGAATTTCTATAACGACCACTTTCTGACCTTGTCTAGGAAATGTTATAAGATTGTTATATGACAGTAATTCGCAGACCTGTGACGACCCTATCTGTCAGGCGCCCTGGGCGATCACCCAACCACGCCATACACAAACGCCGATACAATAATAATTATACAGGTGTTCCAAGGGCCGCATAATGGACTTATATGGTCTTGGCTATTGGTATTACTTAGTTATATTCATATGTAGCTCCATCAGTGGCGTATTGACATACAGTTCCTAGATTCAAGTGAAACGATTTCTCGTATAACTGGTTAATAAAATATGGACAGTTGACATAATACTAGTGCTAAGGCATTTTATAATGATTACTTGTAACTGAATAGAATATGTATGAAATTACTGGCTATGTATATAATTGTTTTTAAATCAGTAAATAGAAATATCAAAATAATTAATACAGTATACTGTTTCTATACAGCGTTATCCATTTATTATTTCCTTATAAATCTTAGATGTGTTTTAAGAATTTTTATTGGCGTTCAATTTATCATCAGTAATTTATTACATAAAGAAGTGCTTAGGGATAAGAAAAAAGTACGCTAATTGTCAAATATCTTGGCTGTTGTGAAGAACACATAGGTGGAGCGTGGCGTAACAAAAAGCGGAGGGATGGTACTATGCAGCACGTCGAAGAGATTTGATGATATTTGAAGTTACTTATTTGAAATTAAGGTGTGGCACATATCAAATCACTACTGTGTAACCACACTATAATCTTGACAATTTATTTTTCCTAACTCACAAGTGGCTTATTTTCACTAGTATGATTGCGATTATTGTCATGATTATTCTTAACTACACGACTTGGTCGATCTGAATTGGTTAGTTTTAGAATTCTACCAGTTTTGCACTTAAAACATATTGGTTTTTTTCAGGTGGTGCCGCCGTTCAAGAGTATCCTGACCTCATTCCCGTTCCTGGCGATGGTGGTGCTGCACTACGGTAACAACTGGGGCCTATACTTCGTGATGACCGCCGCGCCTAAGTTCGTCTCGAGCGCGCTCGGCTTCAACCTGACGTCGACCGGCACGCTCTCCTCACTGCCGTATCTAGCGAGGATGATATTCTCATTGATCTTTGGAGCTATCGGTGACAGGTGAGTAAAGTTATTGTAAAGATTTATAAAGCATGTTATTTCCTTTAAAGATTATATTTTGATAACTTTCTTTTATACCTGTCACTTAATTTTAGGTTTTAAATGAGAGAATCATAATCTTTATTTCAGAATTGTCAAACAAAACGTAGTGTCAACAACATTTATGAGGAAGTTCTTCTGCCTATTCTCCCACGTGCTGCCTGGTCTGTTGCTGATCGGGCTCGGGTACACTGGCTGCGCTCCCATCCTCTCTGTCGCTCTGATCACCTTCTCCATGGGCTCAAATGGAGCCGCGACTCTCACTAACCTCGTCAACCATCAGGACCTGGCGCCAAACTTCGCCGGCACATTGTACGGTATCGCTAACGGCATCGGAAACACTGCGGGATTTGTCACACCTTTGGTCACCGCACACTTCACTAAGAATGGGGTAAGCAGTTTCTATTTTAATAAAGTAGTGCTTCAACGGTTTTAAAATTTGTAAAAGGGATGGGAATCAAGGACGATCAAAAATTATACAACTAAAGTAAGGAATCCGATTGCTAAGAACATATTTAAAAGCAAATTAGAAAAACGTATAGAACCTTAAAAAAAGAGAAGGACCATTTGAGAGAGTTTTTCCGTGGTCAGAATAATTCTTTTTTCCCTGATCACGCATTGATTGTAAATTATTTTGTCTAACAGAATGGCTTTGCGGAATGGCGGCCTGTATTCTTCACGGGTGCATCTCTGTACATCGCAGCCGCAGTGTACTTCATTCTGTTCGGGACGGGCGTCACTCAGACGTGGAATTACGTCGCGCCCGCGGAAGAGGAAGAAGAAGACAAAAGACCAAGTGCTAATTCAACGGATACCACAGTCACTATTGCTGTTAAGACATAAGGTTCAGTGACAATACGTTCAGTGCCACGATTTTGAACGCCAGGCGAGCTTGTGGTATTGAAAGTGTTACGAATGTCTACTGAACATACTATATGTGAGATTCTGTCAACAGCTGTACAAAAATATTTGTGTCTATAGTAGATTCTTTTGTTCTTGTAAAGGTGTTACTACAGTGTAATCTCACGGTTACTTTTTACGACTTAGAGCGGGCCCACAACTTTGTAAAAGTATGGCACAACTATTGTGATATTGTCAATTGTTTCGCAGCCAATTCAACTGTTCAGTTGTGCACACATATAAGCTCTTAGGAATTAATGCCAGACTAAACAGTTGTGCGATAGTTTGGTTAAAGGTGTGCGCGCGCTCTAAAAATACATTTTATAAACACGTACAAATAACTAATATCTTTAATTTAATTTAAACATGTAGCGATAATGTAATATGAATGAAGATGTATCGATGACATATCATGAACAATTTTTGTTACATACTTAACCCTTAAATGCATGATTTTTTATTTAATTATAAAATCAATATTTCAGTATGGGCTTTGAGTCACAGATTAAGGTAAAAATAATAAAAAAAATTCATGGTTTCAATAAAAACTATAATTTTGTTTGTAGACTTTTGGCAACAATATGCATTTAAGGGTTAAGTATAGTAAGTATATATAAATTGCAAAATGAAAAAAAAAGTTTGTGTATTAGTGTAATATTGGTTTATTTAGCTTAGTATTTCAAGTGTTACGTCAATGTAATTGCACGGTTAGTTTTGGCTAAGAATCACGTTGACGTTTGTAGAAAAAATCATACTCAGCCAAATTCTTGCTTCTTGTAAACATAAAAGAGAATATTTAATAAGACTTTGATTGATGTGTGATTGTTTTATGAGTTTTCACTATCGAAACATTGGTACTAAACATATTGTCGTCTCTTTTCTTTTACTTAAAAAAGTGAGATAATAATATGTTTTGTCAATTCGGTAGTGTAGACAGGTTATAAGTTTGTAATAAGATTAAGTGTATGGAGTAATGATTACTGACTAATAAATGGTCATTTTTTCGTACTGTTTTTAAAACATGCGATTTTATTATTTTGTAGTAAATATTTGTTACAATTTTATTATCCAACATTTATATGACTGTGATGACATGAGTAAATGAGTGAAAATTATTTGTCAATTAAATTATTTAATCATGTATTATTTTAGTAGTAAAAAATATTTAAATGTTTTATAGTTTTTACTTTTCTTACTACTACTAACGTACTAACTGTTCCCGTGACTTCATCCGCATGCGATTATAAAAACTTTATTGTTTACATTTGTCAAATATCAAAATTCAAATACACAAATGACATCGAAACCCTATGGATATTGTATGCCAATTATCATACCACGGCAGTTCCTTGATATTGGCAGCTTGTAGTTTAGGGTCCCTTTACAACATGAAGGTTTTTTCCAATTAATTTATTCCCTAAATTTAATAGCGTGAAAATATACTGCCTTAGGTATATGTATAGAATTAAAAAAAAAAACAAAAGTGAGTAACCTATGTGTCCTTCCAGACTATCCTCTACATCTATATCAAATTTCATCGAAATCCGTTCAATCGCCTAGGCTACAAACTCTAACAAACATCCACTCATCCATCTAAACTTTCGCATTTATAATATTAGTAAGATTATGATAGAAGTATAGATAATTATAGATTAGTGAGCTAAGTTCTCCATGGATGCGTGTTGCGGATAATTAAAACGACATTTTCATTATAAAACATAATTTTAATAAGATAACTTCAGTAGTTATACAGAGGTAATGTATTTATACACTATGTACATAAAACTTTATTCTCTTTACATCGATACAATATTTTATTAAAAACTCTTAAGTAATAAATGACACAAATAGATAATGAGGAGTTCGCGGAACTGAAGTGTGCGAGTTCCGCGGAAACCGTTAACACGTGCTATCAACAACTATGTTAGTAAATTTTCAAAAGTTCATAACAAGACTACGTTAAGATTCACAAAGAGCGTAATGTTTACACAAAATCTTATCGAAACATCGTTCTATACATTAATACAAGTTTGAAAACTATTCTTACGTCTTTGGAATTACATCACCAAAACTAAGGTTATGGTCACACACTTTACGAGATTTTTCAGGCGGGATCGACAACACTGCTAACAATTAAATAGATCTAATAACATTCTCAATATATTAATAGTGGTAATTATTAAAATCATTTAGGTATCGGAGTGTGAGGCGTATCCTCGCGGCGCTCACACGTACGACTCGGACTCGGTGTCGGAGTCCGTGCAATCGAGGGCGAGTGCGGGGGCGGGGGCGGGCGTGTCCC